AAATCAACATTATTATAGGCAACCAATGTTACACAACTATTTTGTATTCATAGTTGCATAATGTTTCGTTTTTATTTGACCTATTTTTAAAATTTAAGAAAAATTGTGGCGGCGCATCATCAATAAATGTCGTCTAAAATTAATTATTATTTGAATTTAATTCCGTTTTTGCTATTAAGATAAAATGAATACTTGAAATTTTACTTGGTTTTGAAGTCAGTGATAAAACGTGTCAATTCCAAAATAAAAAAAAAATGAATTCATTATAGTCCCATTATTGGATTAAGCTTAAGATTTGTGGATAAATGACAGGTTTTTAGATAAAAATTGACACCAATCAAAATGTTTTTCTGGACTTAAAATTCAATTTCATCAATTTGAATATTTTATGAAAATAAAATTTAGATTTTAATTTTTTGGTTTTAATAAGTTTTATTAGAAAGTACGTTTTAAAAGGGAAATACACGTGAAAGAAATATTCAAATCGACTCATTTTTTGCAAAGTCAAAGTGATTTTAAAATTGAAACACATTAAAAACTTTAATTGTTAAAAAGTACAATAAAGATTTTATTGTTTTTCTATTTTAGATACAAAACAAAATATTTTCATACATAAAAATTAATTTATTTCGAGGCTTCAAAACATGTTCGATTTAACCGTGGAATAGAAATAATTAATTGTTCAATTAAATTAATTAATACCTACGTGGTTTTGTATTAATGCTTTCACTGCTTTTCATGTTCCAGCAGCAAACGTGTACAGATTATTGGAATCTAATGATATATAATTAATTAATTACAGTAGGTAATTGAAACATTGAAACCACGAAACTCCTTTCAGCAATAATTAATTTGTTTTCGTGCTGGTTTTTCTGGCTCATTTTTTCCGCCGGCACCTACAGCTTGTGCTGTAATCAATTTATACGTGCACTGGAAATGACTTTCTTCTTTTAAAGAGCTTAGGCTATAGCTATATATACATTTTGCTAACAAGAAAATGCAGCCTAAAGGAGGAAATTTCATTTTCTTCCCGCTTGCAGCTGTTTTTTGTTGTTGTTTTTGCGGTTGTTTTACCTACTTGGTATCGTAAGCCAGCGTTTCTGACGTTTAATGCTAAGAAGCGAATTTATCCGTCATAATGTTTACGGTCGTAGACAAATAACGCGACGCGAATAAACTCCGCATTTGCATATTACCGCACAGCGAAACAAAACAACGCAAAACAAAGCACGGAAAGTTCTGGTGCGATTATTCTCCCACTTGAAATTGACTTACTTACCTCTTTTTAGTGTAGTTTGGTGTAGAACCAATTGACAACCGAATGCAACACTAACATTTTCACACACACTTTACATCAAACACTCTAGAGTAATATTAATATTAATAAATACTAGATATTACACACTAATTATTTTTAAATTTAATTTTTATTAAAATCATTGTTCACACTTTTTTTCTCTAAGGATAAAATTGAAGTTTAATTTTAATTGTGAATTGTTTATGCTTCAAAGTGTTTTCTTCATATTAGGCAATCACTGTTTGAATGAATGTTTGAAGATGCGCGACGAAGCGCGAATTTACGCGGAGGCGGCAAAGTGGCGGCGATGGCCTGTGCTCGGCTCGAAGGTGATGCGAACACTGGCGCGGCCGCAACACAACTACCATCCGCCGTCGCCGCCGCCGATGCCGCCACTGGGGGTGAAGCGACGAAACGGCGAAACCGCGTTCGGCGTGTTAATTAAACAAAATTCACACACTTTATATGCAAAATTATATTGCTAGTAAACGGATAGATGGAATTATATGCGGAGCGAGGGCGTAGAGTGTTAACGGAAGTAAACACAATGAAATATAGACATGCTTTGTTTTTGTTTTGAGTTGAGCAGCTATTTAGTTGTGTGGAGGCGCCGGGCAGCATGTATTATAAAGGGCAAGAGTAACTCATATCGCATATCTCATATATATAAATAGCATATATACCTACATTAAATAAGGTAATAAGGTATGTAATAGAAAATATTTTGTTGCATTTTTACGGGTCAGAAAAAAATGTGTTGGGAATTTTTGTAATTAAGTGCAAAATGCAAGAGGGAAAAGTGTTTAATTGAGATTTGTTAAAATATTACTACAGCTTTATTTCTGACGTTAATAATTAAAATTTAGTGCTGCATTTGTAAATGTGTTTTTGTCTTCGTTATTTATTGCTTTGATATTACATAAATATCATATTCAAGTTATAATTTGTCTTAATTTTACATAAAATAACTTTACTAATTGCAAACATTTCACTAACGTAATATAATTGTTTCTAAAAATAAATTAATTATTTTATTGTTTGTTTTACATTAAAATAAACGACAAAAACAACTAAAATAATTTATTTCGTTGTTTGTACATTATAAATCATATTTTTGTCATACAAACAAAAGTAAATTAGATAGTTGGGCTTGAAATAATGCAATCAACAGCAAATGGAATTCACTTAACTATATGTAAGCCGCACCTAAACGATAACAATTGTGAAGTTAGACCGCATTGTGTTTTGGTCCGTATTTTGGTAACTAAATTTATTCAATTGGGCGCTGTAAAAAGTCGTCTGGCTGGTCGGAATAATGGGATTAGTACCTACGTATGAAATAAGCATCCTTTCAGCATACCGGGGGAACATTTGTTGATGTTATGATTTACTACTCTCTCAATTCTTTGAAATATTTTTTCATATTATAAGAATATCTGAGGAAAGTATGTGGATGATTTTATTTGCACAGTATGAAAGCTTTGAAGAAATGCTTAGAGGTAATTTGCAATTTTTTCAATTTTTATTCTTTTTAGGTGCCACTAAAATTTAAAGTTTCTTAAATATTTATTTAAGTAGAAATTCAGTAATTAGTATTTTACAAAAAAATATATTTAAAGATAAACTATTGTAGTATAAAAGTTTTTTTTGTTCGAAAAGTTTTCTACTTACTATAAAAATGAAAAAAAAAGCATTTTGCTCCGCTTTTAAGATATTTCCGGAATTTTAAGGCACTTCATTAATACTACTATCAGCTTTGGAAATTACCTACACAATGTTCCCCAAAATCAAAAAATTCTAACCTAAAATGTCCTTTGAATTGTAATGCATTTGAAGCATTTCTCCACGTTTTCTCAACCCGTTCTCATCGAACTTTGCCCATCGAATGCTGACTTGCCGGAAGAGTAGTTCATTTTAAAAGCACGCACGCACGCCCCCGGAACGCACCGGCATCGGCATCCTTTGGAACACTACCGTACCACCATTGCCTTCACCGCCGTTGCCGCCGTCGAACAGAACCCGTAATAATGCGCGCGCCAATATCCCGAAGCTCTCTAATGGATTACCGCTCGAGTATTAAGCCATATTAAAAATACCTAAAATCATGAGTTGCAGTTAAATGATTAATGAAATTCTCGCGCGTCGCCGAACTTCGTCACATTATTAAAGCGCATTAACGCCTTACCGCATAATGTCATCATTCTTTTTTTTTTATCTGGTTGCGGCTGATGTTCCGTGTCGTTAATTACGATTACGAACAGGTGAGAGAATTAAGTGACAAAGAATTGGCACAATTTGTTTTAAACGGTGGGAAAATATGCGTCACAATTTTATCGTTTGATAAATTATGATTTATTTATTTTTATATAAAGTTTTTCTGCTTTAAATATATTATTAAAAGTAATTTAATGAAATAAAAACTGGCAAAATTTAATTTCACTCCGCAAACATGCAAAAAACAAGTCATAAATTTCTAATTTGATTAAAAAGAAGAAGTAACGTCTTCGTTTACGACTTACCTTTTTTATATAGCAATCGTCTGAGATGCTGTGGGTGTCGAGAGAGTGTTGAGATGCAAACGCACGCCCTTAAAAACTTGCGAAGAGATTACGCACCTGTTTTTACGCCTAGCACACGGCGTAAATTATTACTCGGCGTCTATTTTTAGGCGTTTGCTTAATAACGGTAAGTAAGTAAGATAAATGCCAAAACGTACATGTTGCTAGTGATGGCAATAAGTCACTTTCAGCGGTAGTACCAGTAAGAAAACGAACAAAAAACCAAAATCAAAAAGTTAATTTGATATCTTTTATGAAATAATATTTAAACTGAATTAACTGAAGAAATTGACTTCAAAATTTGTTTTTAATTTTGTTATTCAACACTAAACTTGCCATTTTCCACATTTACTATAAAATATACTAAATAATAAACATTGTAGACATTATATTGCGCGATAATACAAAAAAGTACCCACTGCGTCGTAAAACCGCATAGAAAAAATGAAAATTTATGAACTCGGTGAAAACGGGGCCAGTTGATTTTTCATGATGTCATGTTTTCTTATTGTATTCCCCGGCGTGTTTCATCTGGCGAGATGGCGCAATAAATCAAATGACCAAAGAGGAAAAAAAGCGACGCGCTTCAGGGAAAAGGAAAACTTTATTCAGCGTGTAAATGCGGTAAATGCTTACGGGCGGGTAGGCTCAGGTGTGCGCGTACATATTGTCAATGAAAAGCGTACGTCGACCGTACGAAACCGACCGGTACACATTGTGCGCGCGTATTTTGGTGTGTACACAGCATTTTGTTGGATTTTATTTCACGAACTCCTTATTGTGGATCGCTTTGAGTGAATTGCGACGAACAAGTCACTTGCAATACGGACGAGTATGTTTTGTGTGCGTAGCTATATTATTAACAAAAAATAAAGGCTTAATTTGCTAAGTGCTATGGCGGCTATGGCAATGTGCCGGGTGGCACCCCAGGTGGTTTTATGGGGTTATATGTTTATATATCTTGCGAAAAATTTAATTTCGTCAGCGTTTTCAAGATGAATCTCATGGGAATAGGTAAAATATTCATTTTTTGTTGGTTTTCCATCTTTAATAAGATAATTCTTATCAAATAACTTAATAGGGCTTAAATAATATAAGTAAAATGATTAACCACAAGTGTTTAATTGGGTTATTTGTTGTTTCAGGAGAAAAGCTGATCAAAAATTAAAATAAATTGGCTGTGGCGGAAAAGGTAAGAGTTTAAATAAATGTATTTATTTAGTTGACTAAGATGTTATTTTCTGAAAAAATTATATTGGTAGGCAACCCAATATACAATAGTGCAGCTATTGTAGTACATACGTATACTTTGTCCCGGTTATTTTGTTACTGTCAATAGCAAACTTCCGATTTCTTTAGGTGATGGTAAACATCAGGTATATTGCATCCGTTTGTGCAATCACTACAGTAGATTGAGTTCTGCAATAGATCAAAGGGTCACTCAAACAGTAAGAAACATTGAAACAAGTTGAAAAGCCAGAAATTTTACATTTGTAAATGAAAAAACATTGAAATCAAATGTTTGACATTGAATTTAATTTAAATTAATTTTTTTTGTTTATCGATATTTTTTATTTCAAATATTCTCTTTTTAATTACATAGCAAAAGCTTTAATCTGAAATCTATTGTATGTAAAATGCAATTTGCAAATCTGCTGACTAAGAAAATCAGCCAATGTAGATTATGCGCTACACTCTGCTCTAATCGTTTTTGGATGAGACGGCTGAAAAAAAACCCTCTGCAAAGCGTTTAAACCCAAAATCACTTACATAACGTTTTCAACGTCATTTGCAAGATCACAATAAAACGATTCGCACGCTTTGAATCTTCAAGATGCGCGCATGGAGTGCAAATATTTAATAAACAATTTCCGTAAAAACGTGGAACTTGCGGTGCTGAGCGACACCGCATGCTATATACAGTAGGAGTTTTCATATCGCCGGAGGGTGAAAGCTCAAAAACAACCCTAGCATTATTTTATTATTTCACGTATATTTATATATCCTACATTTATTTCTTACATATGAATTTGTTTTAGTTTTATTTTACACTAGCTTTTGCCCGCGACTTCGTTCCGGTACTGTTTAATAAAAATGTAATTCGTTTATACATTCTTATTGTAGACATAGTATGTGTCAATTCTATCAATAAGATTCGCAATTTTATTTTAAAGTACATAATTAATTATATAATGAATTTTATTGGAATAACTATAACTATAGAAAAGATAATCTAACTATAGATAATCTCAATATTATCATTTATCCTATAGAAAAGGGCTATCTTTAAGGTTTTCTCGGCAAATATTCGAATTATTCTCGCCGTAAAAATCATCTTTGGGCATTAACGAACATTTAAAAAAAGTATTAGCCAAATTAGTTTTGACATTTTTGAGTTATGCGATTACCAACAGATTTTGCGATTTATTTTTATATTATACATTTACTTCCTACATATCAATTTGTTTTATTTTTATTTTCCATTTTGTATGCATATTATTTTAAAACCACCAAATAGTTGTTTTTTTTTTCTTTCTGTTTTGTTTTATCGCAATCGTGGTGGCAGCGCCAGGTTCATGACTCGACGTCGCGAAAATAATCACGCAAGCTCGCAGAGTCGACACGCCGACACACCGACATACTGACTCCGAGCAATAAATAGAAACAAATAAAGCGGCGCCGCGCCCGCCATCGCAGTCGCAGGCAGATAAATGGAGCCTTGAATTGAAATAACTGATAGGTAGGTGAGCGCTGTATTTCGCTTTCCGCATCGAATCCGTATTGTTTGCGCGCACGAACAACTCCGGCAAATATTCGGTTTGGAAATGGTCGGGACAATGCGGATTCTATTTGTGCACTCACACCGCGGCCGCGTAGTTTTCTATCTTTGGTGTGAATGTGAACTTGGAATTAATGGCGATGTCAGGTAAAGGTCACGCGTTCAAAACGTTCGAATGAAAATGCGGTGTAATTAACCTCGGGTTAAGGAAGTTATCAAGTTGACACGAAGAATAAAAGTTTTATTGCATATTATATGAATTATACATTTTACAAATCAAAAATTTATGGTTGCATAATATTTATTTTCAAAGAAAAATGATAAATATGAATTTATACTAGTTTTGAAGGGAAATATGTGTGTTTTGCGTGTGGCTGTCAAAAGTTAAAAGGGAATATGTCTAAAATTGCAACTCAAGTAAATGTTTGTTTGGAAAATACAGGATATGAAACTATAATATCTTGACAACGATCAAATACAAGCAATCATAAACAATTCACTAGCTATACATTTTTATTAAATTGTAGTTAATAGCAAGTAACAAATTTCCAAGTTTAAGAAAGGTTTTTTGTTTATTCGTTTTAAAACGCCTAAAAAAAATATTCCTTTCTTTTTGGAATAAAAATTATTTAGTGCCCACTTCATTAAATCAACAATATCTTAAGTATATTGCTGATTGGTTTGTTAATTTCCGCACAAAACACGCCATAAATCTTTCCTAAACGTTCAATAATAAACGCTTTCGTGCAGCAGAAAAAAAGAAACTCTTTTTGAAATGTCAAAATCAATTTCCAAGTACAAATAGTACCCACCACATAACCGCAAATAAGAAAATACATTTCATACTTCTTGCACAATTTTGAACGTGACATTTTTATCAAGTTCAAGTTGACATTGCGGTCGGCGCCCGTTTTTCCCCGGCTGAACGGCAAACTGGAAACAGTAAATATTTTAAAATCAGCGCAGACGTCGTCGAAATTGCTATTTCACCATCTGCATCCGCACAATTCGATTCGAATCGAATTACTTCCAAGCCGCGATTTCTTGCTCGCCGGTTTTCGCTCCGAAAAAAGTGTGCGCCCTTAGAACGCCAGCCATCCGCACGAGCCGCACGCGCAGAAAGCAGCGATTGCATGTGCAATTTACTCTTTAACATTTCGGCGAGTCGGGGCGTAATTCCGACGAGTGCACTTTACAATCAAATCGGTAGATATCGAGTGATACTCGTACTCTGAATGAAGGCAACCATGGGAAACTCGGATGTGGAATTAGAAATGTTTATTTAAAGTTTAGGTATTCTATTTTAGGTCTTAGAATTTAATTTATTTCAAGACATTTTCATGTAAAGAAGAAGATTTTAATCACAAATATTAAAATTTTAGTTTATTTACTTTTGCCTGTCACTTCTTATACGTGTTTTTTTATGCAAAAATAGTGTTTGTCGCAGTCGGTAGGATTCGAACCTAAGCTCCCAGAGGGAATCTGATTTCTAGTCAGACGCCATAACCGCTCGGCCACGACTGCTGATAACAACGCAGTAATTGCATTAATTATGCATTTTTATATATTAAAAATGCACTGAGATATGTTGTTAAATATTTGCTTATTAAACAAAAATGTACAAATCGTAATCAGCAAAGTCAGAAACAATTAAGTGCATTAATTGCTCTTGATTAATACAACGATAAGCAGTCGTGGCCGAGCGGTTAAGGCGTCTGACTAGAAATCAGATTCCCTCTGGGAGCGTAGGTTCGAATCCTACCGACTGCGAAAATTCATCTTTTTGAACAACCTGGTATTTTCCTTAACAAATGTCAAGTGCTCTATGTACATATTAAAATATTTCATTCTTCGTTGACTTGTCTACTTTTAAACAAATATGCAATTATATGTAAAAACAGTGATCAATGCGTATAAGTTAAACACAGTCACGAATGATACTGCTTACAATTGCAATAATAATGAAAAGCAGTTCCTAATTGCAATGTATGCACAATTTTTCTTTTAATTGAGAATTAATTAATATATTTGTTCAACTTGAACGTGAATTATTGTGAAGCGGTACAAGAGTACACTTTCTGCGCTTTTTCCTTGAATTATTATTTTTTTGTTGTGATCTACAGTTGATTCAATTAACAGAAAACTCTACAAACAGAAAATTCTGAAGATACTTTTTTATGAAAAATATATTTTAATTATTTTAATAGTTATTCTTCTATTTTTTGAAGTAAATGAATCCCACGAATTATATATTATCCAAATCTGTGCAGTCATTCTTGAGTTATAACTGCTGTAACTAACACGACTTTGATTTAAAGGTATAGATGAATATTTATTGATCTTTTGAGATTTGTTTTCATTCGGACATTCAAAAATTTTGAATTCATATGGAATTTAAATAATTAGCTACAATAATACAGGACGAGATCATAAAACCGAAAAATTTCGCGGAAGAACAATCGATGGAAATTTAAAAACAACAAGCCTTCGGCAATTCGCCTCCCTCAATTCGAAAAAACAAATCCCAATCCTGGCCGTACCTAAATCATCAATGGACACACTTCCTTTTATTCAAAAATTTATTTTGACTGATTAATAATCAAGCAAATCGCCGAACTGTTTTCGTAAATATTTACTTGACCATTTTCTGCGAGTGCGAAATGTGCCTCGTCCCGAATAGTAATTTTCAAGTTGTTTACATACTCAATGTATTTGCTTAACATAGTGCGACTGGAAGCAACACACCGAACACAACTCGAACCCTACCGACGCCGCCGCCTTTCGCAAAGCTACTTCGCACACGTGCGAAAGATAAAACATATTCTCCTCCTTCGTGGCGCAATCTCTTCCACTTTTCACGCACGAGCGAAATTTGTCTCACGCCGGCGGACATCAGTGTCACGCCACTTTCCGGTTCGCCTTTCTGCGAGCGTGCACCCGAACGCAAATATGGAAATAAAACTCGCTCAAAAGAAATGCGAATGATATTGATGTCGACTGAGAGAGTTTGTGCACTCGGTGAAGACTCAGTTGAAGATGACGCGTATGTATTTCCGCTATGATGTTTACCAGTTACCGCCATTTGTGTTTCACAGAGAGGGAGAGTTGGAGATTTTGCAGTCTGTCCGTGGGGAATATGGGTGGAGCTGCCGCCGCGAACGTAAATGTTTTATAAAACGCGTCGCGTGACAAATGCGCCACGGTGTGTATACATTCACGCACATACACGATTTGTCTTCCTTTTTTGGACTTTGAGCGCTCTCTGTGAGGGTGAGTTCCTTTTAGCGAGCACGTACCGGTGTCCTACGACGTTGTTACAAATTAGGTTACCACTTCGCAATTTGTGCGAAGTATTAAAACCCGCAAAAGTCTTCATATCCTTTTCATTCTTTGTGCTGTAAGTAAAAACATTTGGAATTAAATTTAACCTATATTATTTTAGATTTTAGTGTATAATTGGTTGCCTATATTTTACACGTTGTGTTTTTAGTTGGAACATCGATTGGATCACTCGAGTTGAAATTACTAATGGTCTGGGACACCATTCAGCGGAGTATCTCAAGTTTGATGATTACCTTTGAATCAATTCGAACTTCTATCGAAAGGAGAATTCGATTCGTGGCAGCGCTCCCAGTGGCGAGGCCCCTGGGACGCCGAGTCAGATCTCGTCCGACGTTTGTTGATCCAGACGCGGTGCTTTCATAATTAGATATGATTTCTAAAGCTGCGCTTTCTTCGCCTCGCAGCGAGTAGTGGGTAATGGGGTAAGTAAATGACGTGCCACTTGTTTAATTCTCGTTTCGATGCGGGTGGGGCAAAGCCGGAAATTTATGTAATTCCGATTGCCGTTTGCGCTATGTTGCGAAGTATTTTCGTTGAATTTGCATTACGCCGGGGTGGAAGTAATGCTTTGATAGTATGCATTCGGGTATTCGAGCAAATGTTTCATAGTAATATTACTAGTGATCAAATACATCGTGTTTCCACATAATTAGTTTCAATATTTTCTGTTTGTTGAGTTCACTTTTAATTGAATCAATTTTAGATCAGAACAAAGAATTAATTGAGAGGGAAAGCACAGAAAGTGTAGTTTTTTAACACTTCACGATTATTTACGTTTATGTTCAAGAGATTATTAATTAATTAATTCACAATTGAAAAGAAATTTGCGCATAATTTGCAGTTTGGAACAGTTTTTCATTTTTATTGCAACTGTACTGCGTTATAAGCAATGTCATTCAATGCTGTGTTTAATTTTTGCACACAGATCAGTGTTTTTACACATAATTGCATATTTTTCTGATAATATGCCAGGATAAGCAAGTTTAACATGACTTTTCCCGTCATTAATTTCATTGCTTTTTCTTATCGTAAGCAGTCGTGGCCGAGCGGTTAAGGCGTCTGACTAGAAATCAGATTCCCTCTGGGAGCGTAGGTTCGAATCCTACCGACTGCGTCAAGCGTTATTTTTACATCAAAGAAATTTATTCCGTTTTTTTTTGTTTTTATGAGGATGTTCACAAATTATTGTTTGGTGAACATTTTGAAGCGCATACTCTTTGTCCTAGAACTCGTTATCGCGCTTTTATCCTTGCATCCCTTGCCCTAGATTCCTTCCCAGTGCAAATATGCACACACAAAGAAAAAGCGCCTCGCCCGAACTCGGCCAGTTAATTCGCATAGTTTGCGAAACGATTATATTGAGTCCTCGCGTGCCCTTTTCCATTCGGACGCACGTCCCTCCGCTATTTAGAGCCGCATAATCCGCTCCGGCTATTCCACGCATCTCTTTTATATTATACACATATTTGTGTAGTGCTTTTTACGAATGTGTGCGGACCCACAATCCGCTCACACTCTCTCCCTGCTTTTCATATTCTTGATAATCCGATTGAAATATTATATAAATCCGTATTGCAGCATTTGCGTATCGAAACGATATGATGTAATGATTATTATCATTACTTAATTAATAAATTTAATTAGATGCTTTTTATTGGCGCTTCTAATTAAAACTTTCACACCCTACCGACTTTACTACCTACTTAATTCTTTGAAATTATGTTTTGTGCTTGTCTCGCGCGAGGAGATTAATTACCAATTAGCATTTCGACATTTAATTAGTGCACAAACTTGCTAGTAAACTCCATCAGCCTTAATTCACATATATGATATTGGTAATAAGTTCTTTTAGGTGTTTTTTGCTTCTTTGAGTTTAATTTTTGTTGCGATGCAAGGATAATTGATTAATGGCCAGGGAGCTATTCTAGTTCTCGACTTTGCTGACTGGTTGGGTGTTGAGATAAATTTAGACATGGACATTTATTTTTAACTTTCGATATTTTCAGTTTTAATTAGAATTACGGAATAAAACCATTAAAAATATATGAATTCATAAATTTGAAGATAAATTTAATCATTCATATAAACTAATAAACTAAAATAATGTTTGTTAGTATATATCAATGCACATTTATGAACCTGATAATAATTTTATAAATCAAGAAAAGATGGCGTTAGAATGCATATATTTGCATTAAATTCTAAGCGTACAATCGCTGCCAGTTGTTGGTAGGTAGTAGTGAGTGTCCGTGTGAGATTGTGCGAATTGGTGCAGCAGGTTTTGTTTTTATCTGTTATATTTATTTGTTTACGTCCTTGAAATGGTGTATCGGAACTCGCACGCTGCATGAAACTTAGGTGTCTTGCATTCGCGCAGTCGCGAATAACCTATCGTCGTCGCTGAACCATTCCTGAGTCGTGTAGAAATTACGAGCATGAGCTGTGGTCGGTTTCGCTATGTATTTCTTTCGCGTGTTGCCATGTAGCGATTAATTCGGTAAATCGAGTTACATTCGATCACGAAGCAACGACATGTTATAATAACAAATGTGTTGTGTTACTGATGATTTATAGTATGTGCAATCTTATAAAACGTGAAATTATTCCCTTTCGGCAGTTGGATGTTATGGATTACAAAGGCTATGTCGCAAGAACATGTTACCTTGTAAGTAATACACATAGCTGATCTCTCATAAATCGCAAAATCAAAAAAATCAGTAAAAATGCACAATTAGGAGATATTCGCAATTCAAAAAAGGGCAAAAAGAAAAGTTTAACTTTTAGTCACGTTTAGGTCCTATTGTACCAAGAAATTAAATTATTTTAAATTCTTATCTAATGCAGAATTTTCCAATATTTCATAACTTTCAATCCGTTGGCCGCTATCGCTTTTAGTTTAAAAGATATGCACTATTATCGTTTATTGATTTGAATATGTCAAGAACGTTGATATTTTCTTGTTTATTTAGTTATATTGAAATTAATCGCAATTGTATAGTTGAGTCTCATTCGGTTTACCATAACAGGGTGTCGATTGAAGTGACTCGCGTTCTGGGTACTCGTATCATATGAGGGTAGCGGTAGAAGTGACTCGTGTTCAGGGCACCGTACGAAGGTATACTTATTTTGCCTATTTTAATACTTTATTTTATAGAGATATTATTGGACGCGGTGTTGTAAACATCAATTATTTAATTAACTTAGGTATACAGTAAATTTATACGAAGACAATTAGAAAACAATAAATTATTTATTTGTATTGGTAAATTACAAATTTCTGTTTATCTTCATCCTTATTGCATCACAAAACCAATATATTCTTTCCTTATGCGGAGAAATATTGAAAGTAAAAGTAGATTTCGTGTATGTGTGTTATTTCAATATTGTGAATTTTTACTTTCGTCTTCTCAACTACGTGTTTACCACTACGTTTGTGTATAAACAACTTTTTTGTTCGGCTGACGCTACGTACGCTATCGCTTATCGCTACGTACCTGCCTTGTGCCTACCTGGTTTCGCGTAGCGCACACGGCAGTTGTTTCACCGCGTGATCCGCGAGCGCGGCGCACTACTAACCACGCGTTTTCAGACTTCAATTATTCAATTAATCGTCGTGTATTCTTTTCGTCATCAGCAAAATATTCGTAACGAACATGTGTGCCTGTCTTGTTTGAAGAGTTGTGGCGGTTAGAGTGTTCTTAAGTGAGGAATAAATGTCCGTTAATCTAATCGAGTTTTCAGTTGATAAGATATATTTCTGGATCTAAAATTTCTTCACCAATGCACTGGTAAGTGTTTGATCACTTTTTTTCGCCGAAAATTTAAGACGGTTTAACTTAAATTGATTATTCCATTTGAGGGATATTAATTTTGCAGATTACAAACACATGGTAGCATTTTTATCAGAATTCTTAGTCCTGTTTTCGAAAATAACATGCCTAATTTAATTGTTACAAACACTGTGTTAAAAAGTATCTGAGGATTATTAAAATGACAATATTTATGTGGTCGACCACGCTCACTTTGCCGTCGACCGTCGGCTCGTTCCTCTTTTCGCTGAACGAAATCGAATTACACTCCTTATAATTATTAAATTAAAAAGTTTCTTGTTGATCTAATAAAATCTTATACGTTGAATAGTTTTTCACTATCATAGTTTCCATATATCTTAATATTTACAAGTAAATAGTTATTTTTATCGTATTTACCTACGCTTGCCGTCTGCTGATTTGGATGTTTTCCGCCTGATGTTCTATCAATTTTTTGATGATGCTTCTCCGTCGGGTACCTTATGCAGTTGATGCTATCATCAAATGATAAATATATACACAATATATTAAAATTTTAGTGTTTTATTCTTGTAGCATCTTTTTACTTAACTTTTCCAATGATTTTCGGGTAAAATCTTTGAATTTATGTTAAAATATATTTGTTTCGATATAAATTTATCTCGTCATGATGTGAATGTTGATCATATTTGTAGTTTTTAAAATTTTCCCTTTGTAACACCCTGTATTATTGTTTTCCTAACAGTACTTTAGTAAATCGCCTTTATTTGTGAGTTTTGAGTGTTCTTTGTTTTAAACTTGGGATTTTCCTTTTGGAACACCCTGTATATTTGCTTTTCTTTGTGTCCGTGAAAACTAACTTTCCTTCAGTTGTGGTTTTAGAGATTTTTTGCACTTTAATTTTTCGTAACACCCTGTTTATTAGTTTCCCGGAGCATCGGGTGAAAACGAGCAATATTTGTAGTATTTAGATGTTTTCCTCTTTGATGGTTGAATTTTCTATTTGTGACACCTTGTATAATCGTTTTCCTTCATATCCCTGAAAATTTTGCTTTGATTGTTATTTGAATTTAACTTCTTGCATTTTGAACTTTCTTTTTGTAACGCCCTGTACATTTGTTTCCCAGAGTAACCGTGAAAAACCAGCGATATTTGAGTGTTTAGATGTTTTCCTGCCTGCACTTAATTTTCTTTCGTAACACCCTGTGTATTTGTTTCTATTTTCAATCACGAAGAAAATTGACTTTACTAATTGCTTCATCCCGCTAGAACTTCACTAAGTGGTACGCGCTTACTTGCGCGGCTGAGCAGGTCGTAAGTCCTGTTTCAATATGGCGGCATGAATTTTGTTGACTTGTAAAATCTATACTTGTATTATTTTACATTGTATTTATTAATAAAGAAATGTTAAGAAATATTATGTCTTATGCTTTGAATGTACCCCTTCTATCATTTCAGGTACAGGTCTCTAAGAGAGTTCCCTCTCTCAGGGGATGATCCCCACTATAAAAATTGTTAAGGTATCCTGTACGATTTGTGTACTCCATCTTTTATTTCAGCTACAGGTCAGAACTTGTAAGAATATTTTTAAGTGTCCCCTCTCTTGAGGCGACTCAAAAATTAGAAATACTTTTACAAGTCCTTAAAAGGATGTCCTTATAAGGAGTTCCCTCTCTCTGGGGGTGATCCCCCACCATAAAAATTGTTGATATGCCTGATAATTCCGGGGATGAAGCGCAGAGACATCGTAGCTGTAGGATGGGCCGGGAGCGATGGACGCATCGAAGCAGTGGGCGATAGACCAGAGCGCCGGAGGCGCTCTGGGAGATCGACCTATGACTGTCTTATAACGACACGTGCC